ATGCTCGTGAAGTATAATCAGAGACGGAGCAACCGTGAGAGAATTCCAAGAAAAGAAACAAGATTTTATTGACGGTAATAAAGAATATGTAAGAGAAACACAAGAACTTTCAAATACAAAGTTTGATAAATATATTGTATTTAAAATAATTTTATTTAGCTAGTAAATATATTTATAATTTTATTCGATAATAATTACGTGTGTAATTACGAAAAAATAAGACGAACAAAATTCAATAATAAGATTTCAAAGCGATGTTTTGTACAAATGTCAGTGATTGAATACATCATCTAGAACAAATGTTCACACATAGATTTCACTGCAATATAAATATAAGAAAAAATTTGCTGGTTACGGCTATAAACAAGTTTACGTGTTTGAAAAAACGAATTTGATAGTTTTATCGCACGTATCCGTAATAAACAGACACGTCGATAACCGGCCGTATATACCTCGAGCAAAACTAGCGAATCGGAGTTCCACAGAGTTCCGGGCAGCTCGTGCGATTTAACAGAGCAAATCGTTTCTGCTTTCGACCAATTATCGGCTGCATGTCGGATATGGCAGCGGAGTCCGAGTGCGTTCCACACACGCTCTCACATGTTCGCGCGTTCACTCCGGCAGCTTCTTTCTTCCGCAATCGCCATTTTTGATCCCACCCACCGGCGTAAAGTCCAATTAGAGTCGACTAGTCGTCCGGTAGATACGGTAGACTCTCGCTATAGATCCGCCACAGTTATTAGTCCGTCTCGGCGCCTTCCCCGCCGCACGTACGTTCACGCACACACACAAGTCACTTTCCTACCATGTCTGCTCCCGCGCGGAGTTGGTAGATGCGACGGCTTCACTCTGCCGTCCCTCACCGTGCTCAATATAGTCTCGCGCATCGAGACGTGGAGAGGGCTTCAGCTATAGATCCCCAACTATAGAGATTATATAGATATAATTTTCAAGAATTTTCCGCTCCTACAGCCTCGAGGTCGGATCTATGAGCGAGAGTCTACTGTAATCGCGCGAACGTTCGCGCGAGAACGCTAACTCAACAATCAGTAGCCTCTCTTCTCCTTCTTCTATTCCGTTTTTCTTTATCGTTCATTAGAGCTCCCTGTCATAGCGTTTCGCGAGTCTATCATTAATTACATTCTGTGCAGATAATGCGCGATGAAGTAGTTGAGCGTGATACGAATCGATCCGTTGAGAGCGAGATGGAGATTTCAATGCCTGCGCGTTGGAGATTTCAACGCCGAAAAACGCAATAAACATGAAGTACTTTATCGTCGCTTTATCCTGCGCGCTTAGTGTGTACTTGAATTATTATTTCTTAATCTCGATATAAATTGAGACTTGAATTTTATATACAAAGATCGAGGTTAATAAAAATATATTGATATTTTCAACATCTCGAATATTTTTCTATTGCCTGTGTGAAAGGCCACTGCCGCCAAGCGCAATAATGGATTTCATTGATGCATCCGGACGTTGTGCTCGACGGAGAATCAAGGAGAGCAACAAAGAGCAAGACGGAGTCAATAATATCCACGTAAAACACCCACACGAGTTGTGAGGTGAGGTGCGAGGCGGCCCGCACGAGGCTTGGCTGGCTGGCTTCCCGAGCGGCGATTGAGGCACGGCCGTAAGTCTCGCTCGAGCATAAACCAATCCTGAAAGGAGAACGCGATGGAATGGGGTATCCATTTCACGAGCGATGGAGACATCGGGGGTACCTCGTTCGATTCCAGCCTCGTATGCTAATTCTACGGCTGTACGCTTGCTCTCGGCGTTGCACACGCGCCGCTACGCGAGAGCGGCACGGGGAAATAGGAGGATGCCTTCAGGGATACGTCGAAGTGTGCGCTAGATGAGATCTGCATCAAAATATCTCGCATATCGGTTTACTTATTTTATTTAAAAATAGACGGCCGTCCGCACGCGTCAAGGTCAGAAAATACGTTGTTGCGAATTGCCACAAAAATTCAGTAAAAACAATTTAAACTTACTAGTCGATTTGTATATGAGATTGTAAAAAAATAATTTTATATATTTAATTACGTGAGGCGATTGATAAGTATCCGAAACGATACAGATAGCGACGGTAGTATCACATTGCTGAGATGTCGTTGACAAGTTCTTCAGAAAAACAAATGTTAAACGTTGACTCGTTATCGCAGGTGGTCGTTGCTCCACGTATGTTACCACGTTATAAGTTTTTATTTTCGTTAATGAATATAATATAATAAATGTAAATGTATCTCTTATGATCTTATAAATTAGCGCATTTACATTATAAATGCAAGATGTGTTTTACTAATATATAAAGCTGGTAACTCATGGAATCACTTAATACACATTGACACACCTTGCGGTGGCAACGGCCGCTTCACCTGCAAACCGCGTTAAGCAACCCGCATCTTCGTCTTATCTTACACCTTTATGCAACAACCAACGTCGTACGCACCTTAGACAGTCGTTGAATTTTTCATCTATCGACCGTTGCTACCGCGCGTCACCGTGTTCGTTCATTTTGTAATTTATTGCGTATTTTTTCTTCTCTGTCGTGAGATTGATATACGTGAATTTCTCTTCGCGAAATTTTCGACGGAATACATAGGCACGTGAATACGCGCACGAGGACCTCCCGCGGAGAACTCGACGACTGATAAAAATGTTCCTACTGATTCCGCCTCTCTGCGAGAAGCCTCCTCGCCCGCCTTTATCTCGTCTTATTTGGTACGAACGAATGACGAGAGACGCACAAGATTGCTGCGCTGCTGCTCGTCGAGAGAGACGACGCGTCCTGAGTGCGGTAGGTACCCCGCAAGAGTCAGTCTGCCGGATGATAAAATGACGGGGGATGAGACCGGACCGCATGTGATGTGCGGACACTATCCTCGTTATGCTCGCGAGCATCATGCGCCGCATCAGTGAATGATGAGCGCTGCGGAATTTCAGTCCGGGAATTCGCGTGCTTTCAGAATAACACGCATAGATCTTGGAAGAAAAAGGATAAATTTAATCGGAGAGAAAATATATTGCTTTAATTTTCTCTTTTTGCTCGATAAAGCATTAGAAATAGAATTTAGAACATTGACAAATTAACGCATCCAGAAAAAAGTAACATACTTAAGTATATTGCAAATAAAATTATACATTATTGTTCTTCTTTAAATCGCAAAACGATTTTTAGTTTAAACGAAACGAGAACTGCACTATTTCTTTTGTAAAACTCGTAGTAAGGTGCTGGAATCTGCACCGGACTCGCGGACGTACGCACGAAAGCTCGTCTCGCCGTTTCTCCCAGCGCAGTCGTCGTCGTCGTCGTCATTCTCGAGCTAACGCTGAGGATAATTTATGTAATTCATTCGGCTAATATCGGCGCGCCGTGTCGTAAAGCGTTCGCATAACCAATTTGGCACTAAAGACCTCGGCACGAGGGCCCTTTAAGGCCCCTCTCGCGGTGGGCAGTGCCATAACATTACAGGTTACGAGTCGCCCCGCGCACCTCCGGTATCCACATCCATCGCAGTCATCCTCGTCGTTGTCGTCGTTCTTTTCCTCCGTTCTTTGCGGAATGTTTCGTTGCCTCACTATCCCCTTCGTCCACGGTTGCGTGCCACTTTTTTCCTGCCCGCACCTTTTTCTTCGCGTTTCGTCCTGGCGTCAGGTGGAGAAGCTGTGCGCGGCCGATGGCGGACGATATTAGCATGGTAACTGGTGGCCCCAGCGGGCGCCTTATTAAATTTGTACCATAAGCAATATCGAGATGCGGCCCGGGGCCGTTTCAATTTGCCGGTCTGGAAATTTAAGGCTCATCCCGGAGTCCGTCTCGCTCGTTGTCGGTGCTACCGCGTCGTCGCTATCGATGATGCATTGCGATTACTTTATCGTAATCGCAAATCTGCAAAGATCGGCGAACGTGAAATTTTACACGAGTTTTCGCGACTATTATATTTTTTTTTTTTTTTTTTGTGTATCTTTTTTCACGAATCTCGTGAATCGTATTGCAATGAGCACGACGTTCCTGACGATCGATTTTTGTTTCACTTGTCACACCGCTATTCTACACGGAACGTGTAAATTGCGCGAAAAGGGATTACCTCGCGACGCTAATTTCACGCTCGCGTCTGAACGCGGCGCACATTCACATATCAGATTGTTTATTGCATTCCGTGAATTAAAATATCGTAACGCGGATACAATACTGTAGCGTATTTTATTACTGCGTCGTTGATGCCGCGGAACCGGAGTTGCATCGCTCTACGAATCCACTACTTGTGACTCGCATCGCGCATAGAATTGGCTATTTACGATTACGTCTTGGTTCAACTATTATTATATATTTGTCATACGTTTTAATTTACATACGTGCAAATCTCCAAAAATTATAGAAAAATAAACGGTAACACACACACTCGCTTATACTTCGTCAATTAACTTGATTACATATTCATTTCTTGATAATTCATTCATTTAGAATGAAAGTTGATTTAATACTTTGTCGACGTCATTAAATTAATGGTCGCGTCAAATATTGTTTGCAGCAATAATACCGAGATATCTACGTCATTGACGCGTATGAAGAGAAGAAGGAAGTTTTTTTCGAAACAAAATGACGTAATAAGATGTCAGGGCCAACGGTACCATGCCACTAATGATTACAAATGACTGGGCCAGTGTACTTGCGCTGACCAAAGGGACGAGTTCGGTGATCGATCGACCACACCAATATCAGTCGATTCGATGTGGAACTCATTCGATGTGGTGTCCTCGTAAATTTCTCGACTAATTTTTTCTCGCATGACGGATCGCTCAAGTAAAGAGAGAAAGTGAGAAATAATTTATAAATTAAAAGAAAACATTAAATTTGCAAAAAAAATAAATAAAAAGTATATAAATATTATTACAGGTAATACAGAATTTAAGATATCTCGAATAATTCTGTGCGATGTTCGCTACAATTCGTTAAACAGTTGACGCTATTGCTACTTTTATCAGGCAAGAAACAACCATAACCAATTATCTCATTAACATAATTTAAAATATTGTAATGGTGCGCAAAAACAATGCGTGTAATTAAAAAAAAGAAAAAAATTTCTATTCCCAAAAATTTAAACATCGTTCACTGCTGGAACATTATCGGACCGATTGTGGCTCAGGAAATTGCAACGTCTGATTATACTCCGATTCCAAACTGCTTTGACACGAACGCGTACAAAATTGGATATATTTTTGCACCATTTAGAACGAAGGTATTGCAAATTAAAGAAATATAAATGTTAATTTTAGAAACAATTTTTGATAAAATTCTTTCTAAAATTAACCTGTTTCTCGTGAAACAGGTAACGTGTTACCGTGCTACGCAAGTGCTGAAAATACTCGGACCGCTTCGCGATTTTGCAGTGAAAGCCAAAACAAATCCCAAATGGCTGAGTAAAGAGTTTCATAGCGTGCGAACTTCCAGCGATGAAGTAGATTTTCAGGTAAATATAAAATATGAGTAATTTTAAAAATTGATTAAAAATCACAAAGTGATGTAAGTCAAACGCGTTTGAGTTATTATTAAACATACTTACAGATAATTCTTGAGCATGGAAAAAACATATTAAATTTTAGAGGCTACGATTATTATTTCCTCACTAAAGCAAAGGACATGCTGATTCCAGGAAATGTGACGATAAATCGCGTAGCGCACGAAGGTATAAGACTCCATTATTTTATTTCAAATTTTACGAATAAAACTACATTAACCACACAGGTTTTTTATATTGTTGTTCTTTAGATCTACTTAGCGCTAAATGGATCGGACTAATAACGGATGTAGTTGTTACGAAAATTTTTGAGATACGTATAATTAAAGATGTTCGTGAAAGATTGCTGTACATAGGTGATGACAACCATACTATTCTTTTCAAATACGAAATATGTGAAATTGATCCCGATGGAACTATAATAAAGTCTGTAAGTTATTGAGGTCTTCTAATTCGAAAAAATATTACAGAGATTTTATTCTTGCAGGAGATGAAGAAAATACGCTGCAAATGGCAGCCAATAGGAGAGCAACCATCAGACCGTTTGCCACTAAACATATTTCAGAGCGAAGTAAATAAATAATTTTTTTTTATATAGAAAGACTTTCAAAACAAGACAAACGTAAAAACGTCTGTAATTTATTCTTTTCAACATATTCTGCTACTGTCTATTGTATTCTACCACAGACTTTTTCTTCAAAAGTTCACTGAGTTCCTTTTCGATATTGTGCGCGTTATTTCAAAATACCCGAATTCTCTTATTTCAAATGCAATAACATTTTTTTTTATCAGTACAGAAGAGATCGTGACACTGATGACACAGATACGAATGCGATGAGATAACAGCGCAATTTAGTTTTATTTTCTACAAAGATGCTATCAGTCTGCACACATGTAGATACGCGGCAGATAGAGCTTGCGATATCGGCTGATTTCGCGCGCAAATAATTCGCGCACGAGTTATTGTTGCGAGATCGGCCGGACCGCGTGAAATTCAATAAAATTACTTTATGTACGTAAAGAAAGAGAGCAGGGACAGAGGAGGCACGAAAGGAGCGCGGAGGGTGGCGCACAATCGGATTGAATTATCGCCGTTAAATTCCACATTTTATGCGCTGTTCGCTTGCCCTGTCAGCACCGGCGGATGGAGACATTATAAATGTTAATTGCACAAATTGCACAGTTATCGCGCGCGACGTTGTCTTTTTCTTACTTCTTTTCTTCTCTCTCTCTCTCTCTCTCTCTCTCTCTCTTTCATCTACATTACATCTTCTCCTTGCTCTTTGCAGCTTCTTTCGTCTCCTGCAGCATCCTTGACTTCGCATCTTCTTTCTTCTCGCGCCCCCGCCGTCCCATTTCTTCTCGCTGAACGCGAGAGACCGCATTTGCATCTCAATCTCGCCGTTGATTTAGCAGTCGTCCGGGGCCATCACTCTTGCCGCGGGAAAGGTCGACTTTAGTATTTTTAGATTAGCCAGTCGCGATATATGTGGCCTCTCGCGAAGCACTTTTTCGAAGCGTCGTCGGAGGGTGGAGTACCGGTGAAACTTTTTCTCTTTCTCCTTGGCGCGGCAAAGAGATTCGCGCACGTTCGAACGTTCCTTAAATTTGTACACAGAAAGAGAGCTCGACCAGAGAAACCAGGAAAAAGATCACGCGAAGGAGGTCGACTTTTGTCCTTGAAACGTGCGGATGGACGGGGGGATGCGTCACGGGTCGGCGACCCCCTTTTCACGTACTCGCACTCTCGAAAACGAGTTGTCGTAACTCGCGGAAGTCGAATTTACGTTGCGCGTATATACGCGCGACTGAATCCCGTTAAAAATACAGGCTGCTTCGTAAGCTCTAAAGCGAGCTGTATGTCTGTGTTTTTTTTTTTTTTTATATGTACACACACGTGTCTCTTATACAGTTACGTCTTAGGTTTTTATTAAATTACAAATATTGTAATTTAACACAAATGTGCCAACATTAGATCGAACAAGATTGAAAGAGGTGGCAAAACGAGGGATATGATTTATAGTTTGACTTTAGCGTTTCTCGATGAACCCCGTGTAATTTCTCAATCAAACCATTTTCCCGGGATTTATGATCTAGAACGCGTAAGAACGTAAAACCGTCAAAAAAAAAAAAAAATTCTCGTAGCACTTTTTATTTACAAAAGCGACACACCACAGATCGTACAATAAAACGGCGTTTGTTACGACGCAGCTCCCGCATTGCACCCATGCCAGAGCATCGGCCGAGCACTATATCATCTTACAAGTTAACTTTTATGACGGCCCACCTGCCGCCATCTTGGAATGCGTAAATAAGCGCTATCTTGATCTTAATGCACCCGCGATCCCGCTGCATCCAGATAGCACGGCTGCGACAATCGTGACCGCGCCGGAGAGCAATAGTACGATTGTTGGTCGAAGTTGGAAGACTTAAGAGGAAGTGAAGTCGAGATAAGCAAACCACAATACCGAATCTGTGATTTATAATAAATCTATAAACTACGTGCATACACTTTTTTTTAATTATTACAAAATAAATTATTATAAAATTATAAAACCTGTCATTTATATAAAATTGTTCACATAATTTAAAAAGCAGTCAAACAAAAAATATTCATTTATCTAAAACGTAAATGGTAAACGCATATTTGCGCGCGAGAAAACGACGTCACGTTGACAGGCACTTGCTCAACGTACACAGGGGCGGGTGCATCTAGAATGCAGGCTTGTGCAGTTGCGTCGTCGACGTTCCGTACAATTTCCGGCATGAGGGACGGAAGTTGTCATTGGCAAAGGCGCGTGCCAGACACGCGACCGGTCGCGCCTATATTCGCTTTGCTTCGAACCAGAGTGAGCCTCGACAATTGACGTTAATGGGATGATCGTAGTAGAGGCCGATAATTGCGCGATCAATCCCAATCGTTGGTCGACTCGTTCGTGTTCGACTAACATAACGTCGAAGGTTCACAAACGCGTCTAGTCATCGTCAGAATTATATCTGGAAAAAGTGGAACTGTCGTGGGAAAAATGTGTTTTTACATTTTCCTACGTATATAATTTGCGGGATCTAATAATAAAAAAAAAAAATATTTACACATAACGATAATACTGTCAATTAGTTCGATATAATATCACGTTTGTTAACACCGACAATGCACTGCAAAAATATACATACATGTATATATATGTAATAATAGAGCAGTGTATGTAAAATGGTAACAATAATTGACTCTAATTTAATACCGCGCCTTTATCACGAAGATTGATAAGCTCGCGAGTCTCAGCGGCGTGTAGCATAATCGGGCCATAATAATAATGTAGCCAACGGAATTGCTGCACGTACCGCGAAATAATAACAGCCGTGCAGAGTGCGGATAATAAGGAAGCGGATAAATTATTTTCGAATTACACGGTTAGCGCTAATGGGTTGATCGTGCAGTAGCTTCCCGCGCGAACCGCGTATATGCGCGGTGGTGCGCGCGCGCGCGCGCGTACGCGTGCTAATACGTGGCGTTCGTCATAAATTCAAACGAAACCTCTGACAGATGTAGAAACGCGATGTGCCGCCGCAAAGGCGGTTACGTGTTACAATATTAAGCGCATAAAAAATGCGTATCTGCTTAGGAGAGTCGATAATTACGAAACGTCAACCGTTATCTTAGAAATCGTGCGGGTAGTGCCTTGCGACGCGTGCACCTGCGCTGCGGACGCGTGCCGATGCGCTCGTTCGTACTCGGCGCACGCAGTCGTGCGTGCGCACACTTATACAAGAAAATGCGTGTTTCTACGTAACAACAACGGAGTTACGGAACGTATGTTACGTTTGCCTTCGAAACAATAGTTGCCATGGTGAAAGAGTGCCGGCAAACACCCGCGAGGACACCTGATTTCAATAGGTTCGACACGGCACGTGAAAAAAGGGAACGCGCGCGCGAGACTTCTTGACCTCTTCCGCGAGAAAAGGGAGCTGCTCCACTTTTCGGAGCGTTTCACGACAGAAACTCTTTGTCGAGTGTCGTCGTGAGACGATTGTTCGTGTCGTGGCTTGGGAATTCAAGATGAAAGCAACGTCACGACGCCTCAATCTCGTTGCTGACGACGACGACGAATAGTGCCGGATCCTTTGGCATTTCGATGTCACGAGATATTTTCACGACAAGACACGAGCGCGTCGTGTTTCCAAGCGCTTTGAAAAGGAAACATAAAGAAGATAATCTTTTTGTTTTTTTGTTTTGCATAAAAGTTAAAAATAACGTCACACATATAGCTTTGTAAATAATCTCACGTATTGTTAAGGTAATTTTTTTTAAATATTAAAATTAATAAAGTCGCGCATGTGTATATTGATAAACGTATATAACGTTAAGTCATGAATACATAATGCAATTTAGCTCACGTTCAGCAAAAGGGGAAAACGAAATAAATAATATACCCCGTCTGCGAACTGCTTCGACCACACAATAATAATGAGCGATTGCAATAGCGTGGCGCACAAATTAATTTTAATTGTTTGACTTCGAGCGAACTCGATGACTTTTGTATACCTATCCCACGGGTGACTTCTCTTGTTTGAGGATCCTTCTATTACCCTCGTCAACGACATTTCAACATGTTAGATTTTTTTTTTTACTGCGGCAAGTAGCGAGCGTATTCTCTATCCATTTAGTTTTTTCTTATTCAATACAGAGACGATCAGCAACACTTCCGTCTGGAAAGAAAAGACTAAAAGAAAGAATTCGAGATTTGACGCGCAAATCCACAGCGTTCCGTTATGCGCATCGTCGTACGGAACACCTCCGTAAACCCCACCCCGACTGATGTTGGCCGTCGATACATTCGAAATATCGATACCGTGACGCGCGTGCAACCGCGACCATAATCCTTCTACATTTAACATCCGAACGCGTGGGTATCAACATGCAACCCGGTGACGATTTACATTTGCGATTTTCACCCTCCGGCAAAAATGCCGGCCGACAATACAGTCGGGATATCGCACGGGATCTGTTCGCATGAAAAACGTCTTACGCTTATGCAGCCTCCTACAGTCCATCGACGACTATTTATAACCATTCATATTTTCTACAATATATGATCGTGCGGGCGCAATGCGCTAATTCTTCACCTAGAGTGTGTGCGCAACAAAATCATTTTGACGTTCGCGATCATAAGTGTAGAGAGAGCGTTTCGATCAAAGTATTATATAATTCGACAGTTGTAATAAAATATGTATGCCACGTCAAAAATTCGCGTGGAGAGGATCGTGAAAGACTTCCTGAAAACCTGCTTTGAGATGGCGGTTAAGGTGCACTACCACCTGCAGCCGCTACCAAGAGGTACCTGCGGGGTGGCAAGGCGGCGCAGTCGAGCATGATTCCTTCACATATGTTCACGGAACACCAGCGGTCAGAAACGCGTGCCAGAAGTATTCGGTCTTGGTGGAGGGGCCCTCCGCGAAGGACCTGCCGACTCCTGGAATCACGCAAGCATGAATCCGCCAAAGGAGTACGTCCTGCACCTGCAGCCCCCAAGACGGGGCGCACCTACGCCAACAGTGCGTGAATCCTCGGCATGTGACGCTGTGAGCCACCCTTCGTCTTATCTCTTCGCCACTTTGAACTGAAAAAACACTTCATAATTTATATTCTTTTTATATCTTTTAGAATATCAAATTATATATATATATTTTTTTTTAACTTTTGTTATATAAACTTATGTTAGTTTAATATTAAATTACAGTTTTAATTCTTTAACAACTGCAAAATAATTGTTTTCAAAATCAGATAATATCAAGCTTATTTTTAATAAACGTTAGTCTGGAATACTTATAGTCAATATTTAAAA